TTTTGGTCTATATAGCTAATTTTGCCCTTCATGACAACTGTGAGGGGGGTGAATTTTTTTATAACTCATCCGTTTAAATTATATTAAGCCTTAAAGTTCTGCATAATTAAGGGCGTGGCCACTTGAGTGACAGGTGGATTGCCGCTGCTGTCACCACAGTCGAGCTATGTGGGCGTGGCTTCAGCAACCAGCTCCCGCCTCTTTGCCCATTTTCGATTATCCTGGAGTGACGCGCTGCCAAGATGGCGACGGCCGGCTCCGCCTACTTTAGGCTTCAAAAATGCTCTTCGGAAACCTACGGGTGACGTCACGGACACTACATCCATGTTTTTATACAGTCTATGATATTACCATTATATCAGTTAATGTAATTACGGTATTTAACTGTAAATTTAAGTTAAAACCGTAAAACCTAAAATGTTGCTACCGTATTTTTTAACAGTAAAATTCTGGCCACCACAGCCGACGCCTTTTTACTGTAAATTTTACGGATTTGTTTTTTTTTTACAGTGCATCATTATTACATTAAATGACACGAGATCCTCACCATCGACAATAAGCACAAATCTTTTGCATTTGCTCCTTCTGCGGCTGCTGATCTGTAGTTTATAGACATCTGAATGTGTGATGCTGATGGATGAGATGGTCAGAGATCCGGTCCGGTGATCCAGCTGCAGTCTGTCTCTGAATCTCACATCGTTACCACGATACAATGATGTCTTATTGGTGGCTCTGTTGATTTTAGCAATGCAAGTTTCATGATCTCCATGTGTCCACAGTATCTTACTGTCCTCCTCTAGTTCAGTCATTCCAGTGTTTAGAGTGACGGAGTCTAAGTTAAAACCGTAAAACCTAAACTGTTGCTACCGTATTTTTTAACAGTAAAATTCCGGCAACCACAGCTGACGTCTTTTTACCGTAAATTTTACTGAATTTTTTTTTTTTACAGTGCATCATTATTACATTAAATGACACAAGATCCTCACCATCGACAATAAGCACAAATCTTTTGCATTTGCTCCTTCTGCGGCTGCTGATCTGTAGTTTATAGACATCTGAATGTGTGATGCTGATGTTCCAGATGGTCAGAGATCCGGTCCGGTGATCCAGCTGCAGTCTGTCTCTGAATCTCACATCGTTACCACGATACAATGATGTCTTATTGGTGGCTCTGTTGATTTTAGCAATGCAAGTTTCATGATCTCCATGTGTCCACAGTATCTTACTGTCCTCCTCTAGTTCAGTCATTCCAGTGTTTAGAGTGACGGAGTCTCCCGCTGTCACTTTTACGGTGTCCACTTCATGTCACGGCATCACATGCAAGACAAAAACAGAGAAAATATGATCGTAAGAGCGTGCAGGCGAACATCTCACTGAATACTTGGTATCAACATCACAATTTCATTAAAACTCAAGCTACTCACACCATACTGTAACTCTAAACTTCTTATATGAGACTTTATTTCTGCTGCTGATTTGTAGCTGATAAACTCCGGAGTCTGTGCTTTTGGTGTTCGTGATACGGAGAGATCCGGTCTGATCATCCATCTGCAGTCTGTCTCCGAATCTCCCATCAGCATCGGCTGTCTGACTGATGTTTCTGTCTCTTTTAGCTATAACAGTGTCTTCAGATCCAAACGTCCAGAGAATCTGATCATCCCTCTGTAGTTCACTAACACCGGTGTCTAGAGCGACGTTTTCTCCCTCCGAGAATCGCAGCGAGTCCACTGCACCAACACCACAAAACATCAAGAAATATGAACATGGGAACAATGAGTGATCTGCTGAAAATCTGAGCACGGGGCCATAAAGAAATAGTGTAGGAGAACGGCTATTATGCACAGCGGGAAACTCTCTTTATTTGTGCAGTGTGCGCATGTCAAAGCTTGTGTTGAATTTTCTGGCTATGCATCTTTTCACTGTTATACAGCATGAATACATATTACAGGCCATAGGGAGCACTGGGACTATTTTGGTGAAAATGATCAAAAACACTGGTAAAAAAAGAAAGAAAAAGCTAACATACACTCAGAGACTGGCCCCTAATAACCTGCATCAGAAGCAACAAGTTGAGTAGCAGCACTGATTATATTGAGTTATTATACTGAGTGAGTTGCTCACCATAGAGAATAAGCTTGAATGTTTTGGATTTGGTCTCTCTTGCGCTGATAAGCTTCAGCTGATAGTCTCCTGACTGTGTGATTTTGACGTCTCTGATGGTCAGATCTCCAGTCTCACTGTCCAGCTGCAGTCGGTCTCTGAAACTCTCCTCATCCCGAAATGAAGTCTCATTGGTCCTTTCAGGAATCTGAGCGATGACTGAGCCGACTGAGCCTAAACTCCAGAGTATTTGCTCATATCTCTGTGGTTCATTTATACCAGTGTGTAGAGTGACAAGAGTGACAGCTGCCACTTCGTTTGTCTTCATTTCATCTGTTCCTAACACCCAGAGTGGGAAAAGGACATTTTTTTCAGAACTTGCATTTATATAACTGTCAGTAAACAGACACAGATTTAAGTTTGCTTGACTAATAAACCTCATGTGGTCTGCAACTCTAAATTTGGCCCAGAGTCGCATTTAAAGTGTATAAACTATCCAAAAAAAATCTAGAACAGAAGTGTGGAAATTACCTTAAATCATAAGCACATAAAGTATAAGTATTGCTAAGTTTATTTAAAATGTGAAAACTAATTTGAAGTGAGGCTGGAGGACTGAATAGAGTATCTGTTAATACTTACCCTTGAGTCGAGAATACTTTCGGCGAGAGTAACACACTCCAGCGATTCCAGCTGCAGCCACAATCATCAGCACACAAACACAGATCAGTGCTAAACCACCTGAAGACAGACCTGGTTCAGCAGCATCTGCCACACACACAGACAGCCATCAGTGCAAACGAGTCTGAGCTTACACGAAAACCGTGAATAAATCAAATAAAACCTCAACAAATCAGAGGGATTAAATCGGATTTAGAAATAGTTTGTTTCTGATCCGAAACCCTAAACTACACATTCTCAGATTTTAACAGAGTTGTTGTTGTTCACATCTAGCATCTCTTGGCTGGTTAATTTTGAGCACAATTTTTGTCTTCCGGGTTTAAAATCTACACAGCTGACTACAGTAATTCAATGATATGTGTTATCCTATGAGAAGATGCTGTCTCTTAACTATTGATGACAGCACTTGGTGCTTTCCAATGACAGACGAGTCAAGCTACTATCATGTGGTAGCTGAAAGAGCTGTTCATGGGTCGGACTTGGGCTTTTATAATGTATTAATCATTAGCATGACACCAATTCAAACATGATTAGTTATTATTATGGTGCTCTTACAGATTTCTTATTTAACCTGTAAACATCACCATCATATGTATGCAGTTTGATGTGAAGCAACCAAAAGCTGACACAATTACACTAGATTACACTGCTATAATGTGAGTGTTTATGGCAGTGATGAACGGATGTTAATTTACTACATATTTAACCAGCTGCAAGTCATTAAAATAATCAAGTTTAAACATCTGAAGCTTAAACAAGTTCGACATTCTTATGCAAATCCTGACAACAGTTTCAAGGTATTTCCAACAATATATCATGAATAAAAATATTATACATGTTAATTTTTTTTCACATGTTCTGTATTGTTAGCATTGATTTAAAAGCATAAAAATATGATCTACTCACGACAAACACATTGTATCTCTTGTAGAAGGTCTCTTTGCTGTTGGTGATCTGCAGCTGATAAACTCCTGTATCTGTGCTTCTGCTGTTGCTGATGGTCAGAGATCCAGACTGATCATCCAGCCGTACTCGGTCTCTCAGTCTCCCATCATCACTATATGAGATCTGACCGAGTGTTGTGTTGATTTCAGCTATAAACGTGTCTGGACTCAGCGGTCCGAACATCCACAGAATCACATCATGTTTCTGTATTTCATGAACACCAGTATGAAGAGTGATGGAGTCTCCCTCTTTCTTGTTAGTTCACTAACACCGGTGTCTAGAGCGACGTTTTCTCCCTCCGAGAATCGCAGCGAGTCCACTGCACCAACACCACAAAACAACAAGAAATATGAACATGGGAACAAATAAGAGTGATCTGCTGAAAATCTGAGCACGGGGCCATAAAGAAATAGTGTAGGAGAACGGCTATTATGCACAGCGGGAAACTCTCTTTATTTGTGCAGTGTGCGCATGTCAAAGCTTGTGTTGAATTTTCTGGCTATGCATCTTTTCACTGTTATACAGCATGAATACATATTACAGGCCATAGGGAGCACTGGGACTATTTTGGTGAAAATGATCAAAAACACTGGTAAAAAAAGAAAGAAAAAGCTAACATACACTCAGAGACTGGCCCCTAATAACCTGCATCAGAAGCAACAAGTTGATTAGCAGCACTGATTATATTGAGTTATTATACTGAGTGAGTTGCTCACCATAGAGAATAAGCTTGAATGTTTTGGATTTGGTCTCTCTTGCGCTGATAAGCTTCAGCTGATAGTCTCCTGACTGTGTGATTTTGACGTCTCTGATGGTCAGATCTCCAGTCTCACTGTCCAGCTGCAGTCGGTCTCTGAAACTCTCCTCATCCCGAAATGAAGTCTCATTGGTCCTTTCAGGAATCTGAGCGATGACTGAGCCTCGAGGTCCGAAACTCCAGAGTATTTGCTCATATCTCTGTGGTTCATTTATACCAGTGTGTAGAGTGACAGAATCTCCCTCTGCCACTTCGTTTGTCTTCATTTCATCTGTTCCTAACACCCAGAGTGGGAAAAGGACATTTTTTTCAGAACTTGCATTTATATAACTGTCAGTAAACAGACACAGATTTAAGTTTGCTTGACTAATAAACCTCATGTGGTCTGCAACTCTAAATTTGGCCCAGAGTCGCATTTAAAGTGTATAAACTATCCAAAAAAAATCTAGAACAGAAGTGTGGAAATTACCTTAAATCATAAGCACATAAAGTATAAGTATTGCTAAGTTTATTTAAAATGTGAAAACTAATTTGAAGTGAGGCTGGAGGACTGAATAGAGTATCTGTTAATACTTACCCTTGAGTCGAGAATACTTTCGGCGAGAGTAACACACTCCAGCGATTCCAGCTGCAGCCACAATCATCAGCACACAAACACAGATCAGTGCTAAACCACCTGAAGACAGACCTGGTTCAGCAGCATCTGCCACACACACAGACAGCCATCAGTGCAAACGAGTCTGAGCTTACACGAAAACCGTGAATAAATCAAATAAAACCTCAACAAATCAGAGGGATTAAATCGGATTTAGAAATAGTTTGTTTCTGATCCGAAACCCTAAACTACACATTCTCAGATTTTAACAGAGTTGTTGTTGTTCACATCTAGCATCTCTTGGCTGGTTAATTTTGAGCACAATTTTTGTCTTCCGGGTTTAAAATCTACACAGCTGACTACAGTAATTCAATGATATGTGTTATCCTATGAGAAGATGCTGTCTCTTAACTATTGATGACAGCACTTGGTGCTTTCCAATGACAGACGAGTCAAGCTACTATCATGTGGTAGCTGAAAGAGCTGTTCATGGGTCGGACTTGGGCTTTTATAATGTATTAATCATTAGCATGACACCAATTCAAACATGATTAGTTATTATTATGGTGCTCTTACAGATTTCTTATTTAACCTGTAAACATCACCATCATATGTATGCAGTTTGATGTGAAGCAACCAAAAGCTGACACAATTACACTAGATTACACTGCTATAATGTGAGTGTTTATGGCAGTGATGAACGGATGTTAATTTACTACATATTTAACCAGCTGCAAGTCATTAAAATAATCAAGTTTAAACATCTGAAGCTTAAACAAGTTCGACATTCTTATGCAAATCCTGACAACAGTTTCAAGGTATTTCCAACAATATATCATGAATAAAAATATTATACATGTTAATTTTTTTTCACATGTTTTGTATTGTTAGCATTGATTTAAAAGCATAAAAATATGATCTACTCACGACAAACACATTGTATCTCTTGTAGAAGGTCTCTTTGCTGTTGGTGATCTGCAGCTGATAAACTCCTGTATCTGTGCTTCTGCTGTTGCTGATGGTCAGAGATCCAGACTGATCATCCAGCCGTACTCGGTCTCTCAGTCTCCCATCATCACTATATGAGATCTGACCGAGTGTTGTGTTGATTTCAGCTATAAACGTGTCTGGACTCAGCGGTCCGAACATCCACAGAATCACATCATGTTTCTGTATTTCATGAACACCAGTATGAAGAGTGATGGAGTCTCCCTCTTTCTTGTTTGTTAAACCAGCAAAAAACACATCTGGAGGGGAAAAACATGTTTCTAGATTTCACTAGATTTCTAATCCTTTGCTCTGCTTAATAATAGCAAAAGTGTCATATTAAGTGATTAAGTGGTGCATTTTTGTAAGTAATCTTTAAGTAAGGGATAATCCACGGCTAGCTGTGCATTAAATAAGTTTAATGTGTGACATGGAGGCAAAGAACTGTCCGACGCGAAGCAGAGTGCATTTACATCTTTTAATGCACAGCTAGCAGTGGATTATCTCATTTATACCATGGTCTGTTATTGAGGTTTGCAGAGAGAGATGTAACTGCGCTTGTTCAGATTCTCTCTCTATTAGCAAAAAAGCTGTGAGATTAATTACTTCAAAGTAGCGATGTATAGAACAAGCTACCTGTGCAATAAACTGTTTTACTGCACACCTTCCAGCCAATCAGAATCAAGATTTCAGACAGACCATGGTTGTTTTTGCACTCAGACAACAGAGCTATAATGAAACAGATGCGAGGCGCTCACCGTGGACAGTCAGACTGAATGTCTTGTACGAGGTCTCGCTGCTGATGATCCTGAGCTGGTAGTCTCCAGAGAGTTTGGTCCTGATGTCGCTGATGCTCAGGGATCCCGTCTGATTGTCCAGCTGCAGTCTGTCTCCGAATCTCCCGTCATCAACATCATAAAATGAAATAATCTGGTTTTTGCCATTGAGTTTAGCGATAATAGATCTCTGAGCTCCATACATCCACATCACCAGATCAACGTTGTGTATTTCAGAAAGGTTAGTGTGTAAAGTAACAGAATCTCCCTCCAGAACGGACCGTTTCTTTGTTTCACCTGCATCACCAGACACACCTGCAAACAGGAGCAGTTCCTCAAAAGGCATCTTTACACAGAAACCAAATCTGAAGCAGCATAAAACCACGAAAATGTGCATTTACACAAACTGTTTAATGCTATTCTGATGGCGTAAATGCATTTACACAGGAATTAAAAAAAACAATGCTTTGAATGTAGTTTTAAAATTATGGTTTTAAGTGTTATACATTTATTTCATTTAAAAATAATGAAAGTATCGCCTATAAAACTCAAAAAATTAAATAAAATAACATTTCATACGCGTGCAAGACTATATCACACACTTTGATGTTTGTCATAATTCTGTGGTGGTTATTTTATATTTCTGAATAAAATTGTTCCAACTGGAACAAACACTACACAGAAATACTAAGTTATTACACCGGGTACATCACTAAAAAAAGAAGTCGAAAGTTATTTTAAAGGGCCAGAAAGTCACTTTGAAGCATGCACAACAAACGAACAATGATTAGCGTCAGCGTTTCAGGCAGGACAGGACCATTTAAATACATGCAACTGCACAAACTATGCAGGCTACAATTTCAGTTTGTCTATTGTGAAATAACTGAACCATATTGTGTTTTTTGTCCTCTGAAAAGCATTGTTGCATCAATGGTTTCTTATGATAGTTTGGGACTTGCAGCCCTGTTTGAATGCACTGAAAGCAGAGTGAATCTCTGGGATTGATCAGCATTCGAGTGAGTTCAGAGGAGCAGGAACATAGTTATATCCTACACAATTATTCGCTAACATCCAATTCAATGCATATTGTATGCATCAAACTATTGATAAATAAACAAAATATATAAAAAAACACCCGATGTTTTTATTTGAGTATCGACACTTTCACATTGCAAACGGCACTTTTTTCATCTTCAAACCAAACTTGGGTCTTAAGTAGGGTGTGACGGTGAGGACATTTTACCAGCGGCTGAACCATATTGTGTTTTTTGTCCTCTGAAAAGCATTGTTGCATCAATGGTTTCTTATGATAGTTTGGGACTTGCAGCCCTGTTTGAATGCACTGAAAGCAGAGTGAATCTCTGGGATTGATCAATTCTGTCTTGCAGCATTCGAGTGAGTTCAGAGGAGCAGGAAAATAGTTATATCCTACACAATTATTCGCTAACATCCAATTCAATGCATATTGTATGCATCAAACTATTGATAAATAAACAAAATATATAAAAAAACACCCGATGTTTTTATTTGAGTATCGACACTTTCACATTGCAAACGGTACTTTTTTCATCTTCAAACCAAACTTGGGTCTTAAGTAGGGTGTGACGGTGAGGACATTTTCCCAGCGGTTAATCGACGTGTGACAACAACACCAGTAATAACGCTATCACCCAGGGTGAGGTTTTCCCTCTTTTCCTTGCTTTCCTTCGCTTTTAAATAGCTTGTAAATGCCTGTGAGCATTTTACTTTCACTTTCAATTCAGCGTCAATTGCTTGAACGGACAACAACAAAACAGTACAACGACACACTCACTTATATTAAACATAGAACTTGACTTGTTTTAACAAACCAAAAAAAACATAAAATAAATAACTTACACAAAGTTTAAATAAATAAACGAAAATCAGCAAACACTGTGGAACCAAATAAATAAGAAATAACGTTAATTAGCAAAACGACACCTTGATGTAAAATAAAATAAATACATTACACAAAGTTTAAATACAGTAAAAATCAGCAAACACCAAATAAACTAAATAAATAAGAAACGAATGTTGGAGGGGGTCGGGGGGGGTTGTGCGGTTGGTGTACAAAAGGTACAAAATCATCTTAGATAAATGGCAAAAGTTAACAGGATTTTCAAAATCTCAAATATCTCCAAACAGGCGCTTTTGCATTTAGTTTCGAAACTAAATCTTCCACATGGTCTGGTCTGTCTCACCTCACTGTTGTGATGAATGCAATCTGAGATCGTTCAGCACACTGCACTGAGCGTTCAGTTTTTATTTGTAGTGTCTGTTCTCGAACTGAACTAAATGATTTTTATTACTATACAAAATCTAAAAGACGGTGGCGGGCCGTAACCGGTGCTGCGGCTTAACACCGGTAACACCGGGGGGTGAATAAAGGCCTCCTGATGCGTTTCAGTAAGAAAAATATCCATATTTAAAACTTTATAAACCGTTATCTCTAGCTAAATTAAGAAACATTATAAAAATGACAGTGAGACAGTTTTAAGCGCTTTAGAATTGCTGGATGTAAGAAAGTTCTCTACAGAAATCAGGAAAGCAGGGCTTAACACCTTGAAACTTACATTTATAAAAACAAATAAAATAATAATTGCTAGACAAATAAATAAGTTTATCAAAAAATATTGGTCCTTGTCTTCTGTAGCAACGTTGTGATGACCAAATAAAACATCTTTGTATAATAAAGAGAAACTCTGAAGAAAAAGCTTGTACAAAAAATACAGAAATCCTCCCAAAATAAAATAGTGTACATTCCCAAAAAAAGATGAGACACGGATTCATCTTCAGCCGCACAAAAGGAGCATAAAGAACTAATATCTGGAAACATTTCTTTTTTTAAAATAGAACTTACCAGGGTAAAAAAGATGAAGTAATTTAAACATCCTTTACCTTATTAGTTATTTCTAATAACTATCGTATAAGCCATCCCAGTGGGACACGATGTACGGGAGAGAAGTGATCTCAGCCTGAAACTGTCTAATTCTTTTGCTCCGACTGGAAGAAGTAGATAAGAAACTAATTTCCCCAATCATTGCATCGAGAGGATGAAAACAGTGATCTAGCGGAGTCCCTGAGAAGAGTTATGGCCCCACAGAGAATGGTGTCCATGTGACAGCTATATTATATTTATTCAGAAATTCTCAATAACAATATACCCAACCATCTGAGTTTATTAACTGAGAAACTAGAATATTATTATTATTGACCCAATCTGCGGAAAAACAAAGATTTATTGTTATAAAGAATATCACTGTTATTTCAAATAAAATAACAGAGGAGTAAAATTATGTTTATAAATGAGATGCCACGCCAAAAGTGCTTGTTTATGAAAATTTGATCATTTAAGGGGCAATTTAGTGATATTGTAATTACACAACAATAAGAAAGGGAGACCTCCCACCTTAGAGAAAACAGTATTAGGAAGAATATTCCACAATGAATCAGGATTTGTTAAGTATAACCAATTTATCTTAACAGTATTATTTAAGGAGGCAAAATCTACAAATAAAATTAAACCACCACATTCATATTTATAACAACAGACTTTCTGACATAATGTCTCCTATGCTTCCACAGAAAGTCAAATATTCTATCAATGTCTGCACAAACAGATTTAATCTACATATAAAGAGAGAGCAGGGTAAATCATTCTTGAAGCAATGAGAGTTCAGCCTCTTGGAGATAAATCTCTCTGTAACCATGAATTGAATTTCCTTTTAGCTTTGTCAAAATTTAATCTACATCTGACTTTATCATCCTGACATATAGATACACCAAGATAGGTCACCTGTGATTTAACTGGGATACTGTAAAGAGAAGGAGAAGAACACGTTTTAACCGATAACAATTCACACTTATCAAGATTTAACTTTAAACCGGAAGCTTTAGAAAAAAACCTAATGTGTTCTACAGCAATCAGTATTTCTGACTCATCTTTAAGAAACAAAGTAGTGTCATCAGCTAGCTGACTAATAAATATATGCTTATAGGCAACAGACGGTCTTTTGTGGCTGTTCAAACACTTTCGACCACAAACACAATCCGGTCGAGTGTGTTTCCACTTCCTCTGGAAGAGGTTGAGAGCGGACAAGCTCACAATGTTTTACACCCCATTCACACCTGTATTCAGTGATGTCTGCTTGTGACCCGATCGACCAAAACACATCTTAATACCGGCTGTGAACAGGGCCTGCCATTCATAGATACATGTGAAGGAGCTGTGCAATGCAGACACGTAGAAATGACAAACAAACATAAGCAAAATACAGAAAAAGGTAAAAGTGGTTGTTGAATAAGGTGCCCACTTACAGGCCCTAAAATATACACTTTCTGTTACACATGTTGGTATTACTATCATTATATGAGGACTTTCCTTTGACTTCTATTGTTTTTATGCAAACTACTCACTTGTAACATTCAAAAAAGTGGACACAGTAGGCTATAACAAATGCAAATTGATAGGAATATCGCAATGAACTAATTTCCTAGTGAGTTTACGGGTCACGACGAGGCGTTCCCCATAGCGACCCCTAGAGGACGCAGTTCGAAGTTCCCATGAAAGGGAACAGTATTAGGAAGAATATTCCAAAATGAATCAGGATGTGTTAAGTATAACCAATTTATCTTAACAGTATTATTTAAGGAGGCAAAATCTAAAAAAAAATGTAACCACCACATTCATATTTATTTATAACAACAGACTTTCTGGCATAATGTCTCATATGCTTCCACAGAAAGTCAAATATTCTATCAATGTCTGCACAAACAGGTTTATCTACACATAAAGAGAGAGCAGGGTAAATAATTCTTGAAGCAATGAGAGTTCAGCCTCTTGGAGATAAATCTCTCTGTAACCATGAATTTAATTTCCTTTTAGCTTGGTCAATTTAATCTACATCTGACTTTATCGTCCTGACCTGTGATTTAACTGGGATACTGTAAAGAGAAGGAGAAGACCACGTTTTAACAGATAACAATTCACACTTATCAAGATTTTACTTTAAACCGGAAGCTTTAGAAAAAAACGTAATGTGTTCTACAGCAATCAGTATTTCTGACTCATCTTTAAGAAACAAAGTAGTGTCATCAGCTAGCTGACTAATGAATATATGTTTATAGGCAACAGACGGTCTTTTGTGGCTGTTCAAACACTTTCGACCACATGAGCGTCTACACCACAAACACAATCCGGTCGAGTGTGTTTCCACTTCCTCTGGAAGAGGTTGAGAGCGGACAAGCTCACAATGTTTTACACCCCATTTACACCTGTATTCAGTGATGTCTGCTTGTGATCCGATCGACCAAAACACATCTTAATACCGGCTGTGAACAGGGCCTGCCATTCATAGATACATGTGGAGGAGCTGTGCAATGCAGACACGAAGAAATGACAAACAAACTTAAGCAAAATACAGAAAAAGGTAAAAGTGGTTGTTGAAAAACTTAAATAAGGTGACCACTTACAGGCCCTGAAATATACACTTTCTGTTACACATGTTGGTATTACTATCATTATATGAGGACTTTCCTTTGACTTCTATTGTTTTTATGCAAACTACTCACTTGTAACATTCAAAAAAGTGGACACAGTAGGCTATAACAAATGCAAATTGATAGGAATATCGCAATGAACTAATTTCCTAGTGAGTTTACGCTTGTGCAAATAAATAAATAAATAAATAAACACATCTGCAAGAGCTAGATAAAAATATGTTTTCTCTGAATACATACATTTCAAAAATGTTTTATATTAGACTTGTATTTTCCAGGAAAACAAGTAAATAAATAAATAGCAAGACCTACTTTATACATTAGTATATGCGTTACATGTCATTTAACCTTTAAACCAGACTGCGTTAAATCCACTCTCCACTAACGTCCAGTGTTCGCAAACTTCTTTAATTAATATATTTTCTGTAATTATACTTTAACCCCTGATAGGCATGAGTTTTTCAGTGGCAGAAACAGAAATCTCATGCTCTCTCTCTCTCTCACGATGTTCAGATGATTTCGTCTCGTGGTTTGCATGTCTCTGCTTTGCGCTTTAATGTGGATCCTGTCAGAGCGCATGCGCAACACCAGAAAGAGAAACCAAAGCCATTGAAGAGTTAAATGTCCCACTCACCGGGCAAAATCGCCAGGAAGACCGAGAGCAAAACAATGTCCCTCGCTTCGCTGTAGAGTCCCGTCAAATCTGCTTTAATAAACATGATCCTGCTCCGTCTCTCTCGAGCCTGCGCCGCACACACAACCACATAACAGAGAAGCTCTAGAAACACCTATGAACAAATACCTTTAATAACGACTGGGTTTCACTAACTGTGCATGCTTATTTCATAGACACACACACACATGTGCCGTTTTGGAGAAAAATAAAGTCAAAATACATTATAACACTGATAATTTCCTGCTTTTTCTACAGGTATTATTAAAATTGCTTCAGAGTTAACATGACTTTTAAAATAAATTCTTCTTCAGGATGACCATGACTCTCTTTTTTATTTTTAATAATTAAAGTTATTACAATAGAAATATTTCACAGCATTTCCTTAAGTACTTAATTGTATAAAGCGCTATATGAATAAAGCTGACTCGTCTAAAAGAGCCTGTCAACCAAAATATGCATCCAAAACAGACCTCTATATAAACTGAATCAATAATACATTGTAAATGCGTTCAGCATTCTGCAGCAAATATTTTTCGGGATTTTCTAGACTATTTTAAGTGGTAGAGTAAGCTGGATATATTAACATCCAGTGCACAGCATTCATGATACTAAGAGGAGCAGACGGAGCCTGAGGCCTCCCGAGCTCAACAGCGCCCCCCAGGTTTGCAAAGTAAACCTGTGGTGAACAAAGGAACTGCAGCACTAATCTAGCTGATAGCCCTGCTTATTTTCACCTTCACCTTGCGTGACCCTCGCTCCAGACAGTCCAGACCAAGACCATATCAATCCGCTTCAGCTATGTGTCTGCATCAGGTCAGTAACCAGCTGGCATGTCTGGTTTTTCTATGTGGAGTAGTGTATCAAATTAATAAAGTATAAATATTTTTAAAAGTGCTCACATGAAAAGCCTTTATGGTTCTGTTGTGTTTGTTTCACGTTTGTTCTGAGAATAGACATATGATCTCCTTTCCTCACCCGAATTGCTCCACAACTTGTAATATTCTAAATCAGCATTTGGAGGTGATACATGCTATATTAAAGCAATTATAATACAGCATTTTATGCGTGTACTTCGAGCCTCTCAATCAACATCAGCGCGGCACCTACAGGATAACGCAAACAAGGACATTAGATCTCTGCCAAAATGTTGTCTGCATGTGTTCAGAGATTAGAATATAAAGCTCACACAGTGTTTTCATATATTAGTGCTTCGACCCAGAATCTGCCCCAGCTATATTCACGATCAGGAGCCGCTGCTGCTACTCAGACTGCGATGGAGACAAAGGACACAACAGCAGGCGAAGCATCTCTAAACTCTCTCACTCATATTACATTTTGGTCTGCTCATCTGAGCACTGTACCAGTAGCACTGAAACATCTCAAATGACATACAGGTTTGTTTGTGTGTTTTTGACACGGAGGAAGTGACATCATCTGGGCTCTTTCTGCAGCATGATGGGAGGACAAGAAAATCATCTCAATACAATATACTTACAGGGTATCTGCAGGATTTTTAAACTCTAATTTAAGGCTTTTTAAGAGCTCCACAAATAAAAATAATACCGTATGAGCAGGGTAGGGCAATATTTACATACTAAAGCGGAAAATGACATAACTTACTCACATACATGTTTTCACTAAAACAAAAAGTTTTATAAAACTATAAATTTCAAATGTCCATTTTTTAAGAAAAGGGATGAGTCAAAAGTATCAGTTATTATATTGTTTAAAACATATAAATAGACTATATCTCATACTGTCTTCTGTCTTGATTAATTAAAAGCTGAATTGTTTAATCAATTATTTTAAACAGTGGTAATATGATGAAATGAGACAGAGAGATCAATCATGTATTTATTTTCACATACAGAAAGCAGAGGTTGAGCTCTGAGTTTGAGTGCATGTTAAAACACCAGGATGATCCTGATCCTCCTCTGGACACACAGCTGTTGATCTGCTCAGATTCAGACTGATTCAGTGATGATCATCAGATCTGACAGCAGCAGACTCACATTCATCAGAGCTTCTGTCTCAGCATCATCCGTCTGTTTAACCTCTGTTCAGTGATGCAGTAAAACTCAGTTCAAGCCTCTCCATGGGTTTGATTCA